GCATCGGCTCCTGCAGCTTGTAGTAGACCATGCCGTGGAAGGGTGCACCAGGAAGTTGCTGCACGTTCAGGCACTTCGGCAGATAAGGTACATATGGCCCGTAGTAGAGACACCGCGTCGGGGTGGCACCTGCTGCGGTAGTTGGGGGTGTCGGTGGACACATGACCCAGCCAGGTCCCATCGTAGAATTGTAGCGCGCCTTCCAGTTCAAATCACCCAATATATACAATGGACAACCCTGGTCCGCGAGGTTCTGAGCGAATGCAAAGAATCTCGTCCACCAAGCTGGGTCCTCAGTATTCGGACCATAGACAGACAAGTATATGCAGTTAGACGCCTTGATACCCACGACTCGGTGGCCGAAGGACTCGTCACGGATGATCGAGAGCTTCCCGACCGCATTCGGCTTCCACGCGATGGCACAACCCCTTTGGCGGACAGCGGCCACACGCGTAGGAGGTGGTGGAGGCGAGCAGGCAACCGACCAGCCGCACCGCTTGCAACATTCCAGTACCCATCGAGGTCGCTCCTCTCGCTGTCGAAGCTCCTGCAGGCACAGTAGAGAACAGTCATCCGCATGACGAAGCGCCTCCTCCAGGCGCGCCTTGGTAAGAGATGTCGCGTTCAACGCGGCAGCAGTGGTGCTGATGTCAATGGGCTCATGCAGCTGTGTTTCCGGAGAACCACCTCCTCCCACCAATGAATCACCCTCCAACTTCTGCAAGTGTCCAGCATGCGGCGACTGAGCCTGGGAAGCAGCCGTCGGCAGAAGCCAGGCGCGACCAGGACTTGCGATCTGTGCCCCAGAACTTCTGGCAGCGGTGAAGGGCCTAGGGACACATCCCTTGCCCATGCGTTCTAACCGATGTCCAGCACGTGGCAACGTTGCCTGGCTCGGGCTCGAGGAGCACCCGGAACCAGGACTTGCGTTCTGACAGGATAGTCACGAAGAAGCGGCCGCAGCCGCTGCAGATGAGGACGCAGTCGATGAGGACGCAGACCCCGCAGCAGCTGGGCGCCGAAGAACTTCGCGAGACGTGCAGTGAGAGACCAACCTCCATGGCCTCAGCTTTGGCAGGGGGAGTCCAGCACGACGTAGAGCATTACGCTTCCGCATGCGGATCCGACGTTCATGTCGAAGGCCTCGCTCCTGAATCTTCGCCTTGTACGCGGGATCCTCCATCAGCTCGGCCTGTCGCAGTCTGTTATTATCTTTATGCTTGTCCCGGGAACGCTTGGCAATGCGATCCTGGATAGCTTTCCGCCTCTTCCTCTCCGTGGCACCAAGCAGCTTGTCGAGTAGCTGGACCCTTGTCGTCAATCCCTGGGGCCGCAACCTGCAGGGGTCCGTGCGGAGGCGGAAGATCGGCTTCTGAGCTCCACAACGGGAGCGCGTGTAGAGCGTCACGAACTGGTTGGACCGCCGCGCAGTAGCACCCGCCTCCTCGGACGTCTGGCATAACTGGATCTGGAACTTGGTTGGCAGCTGGTCCTGCCACCACTTGTACTTCTGCCAGGCGATGCGACGGGCTGCCCTGGCTGCGGCTCCCTGCGTCGCTCTGTTGGCGCCACCATGCGAGCCAGGTGGGGCTCGGGATGGCGGCGGCTCACCCACACAGTAGCGCCAATGGACACGGGCTTCCTGGAGACGGCGTGGATGATTGTCAGCTGCCGGCTTCCATCCACACCCAGGCGTTGGACAACGTAGATGTGCGCCAGGACCCTGCAGATCAGGTTCCTCGTCGAGCACTGGCGGAGGCTCTCCAGCTTCAGAGATACCCAGGAAGCTGCGCGCCTTCTGGGTCGAAGTGGTCCCTCTCTTCGAACCTCTGGACGACTGTGGGATTCCAGGAAATGACCTGGCATCCGCCTCCTCCGAAGCTCGAGCGGTACTGGCAACAGACTTTCCTCCTCCACGAAGTAGACCACGTCCACCTGTGAAGATGTCTGGGTAAGGTAGAGCCTGCTACCATCATGCAGTATCCACCGCCACCGGTAGTGATGACGCAGCTTGCAGTAACTTGTAGTGCTTATCCTGTAAGACCAATCACACCAAGGGACGCTTACTCGAAGCCGAACGTGCTGTCGGGCCCGCGTAGAGTACCCAGCGGTCGTCCGTCGCGTTGAACTTCCAAACATTGATGTCGACCTTGGCCGCAGCAGCTGTAGCCTTCAAGGCCGCCGTGTTCGCCAAGCAGCCAGCCTTCGCCATCTGCTCAGCCTGCTTCGCGGTGACTCCGTACTTCTTCAAGTGCTTCTTCATTTCTGCAGAAACGAGTAGGCGCAGCTTGGCCTGGACCTTCCCACCTGGCTGGTCATTCCCTGCGGCAACGGGCTTGGGGTCGGCCGCAGCACCACGAAGAGCTCGACCGATGCATAGGAAGAAGCAGCCACCACTGCCTCCACACTCCACGTCTTTGAAGTAGTCCGTCCAGGGTGGCGTCGCTGCTCGGCGGGCACGCTGCTGGGGGGGGTCGCCTTCCGACGGTCCCAGCTGGCGGCCGTCAACAGGTACCTCATGAGGGGGGGGAGCTCCGTCCGCAGGTGCCAAGCTGGCTGTCGCGGGCTGAGTTGGCTCCATCTCCTCATCTGGCGTCGTGGTCGGGAGTCCTGCGCGCGGCTGCACAGTTCCCCAGGAAGAGGTGGGCTTGGAGACGGGCGTCTTCTTCCTGCCCCCTGCGCTATTGTAGGCCAACGAGACAGAGATCCCGCTGGCGAAGGTAAGGACTCGATCTGCATCAGAACGCCCCGCCGCCGAGTCAGCTCTGAAGAACCAACGACGACGGCCAGCACGATGTATTTTAATGATGTTGGTGAAGCCTCTTTGCGCAGCCCATGACTCCGAGCCCCCTGGTCCAACCCAGTTGTCAGGAGTACTGAGGGCACACCCTCTTGGGAGAATATCCGTGGCCAGCGCCTGGTCCGTCAACACTCCCAAACTTGCGTCATCTGACGGGCGGTAGCACATCCGCCCCGACACTGAAGTAGAGCTGGCTGTCACGCGCGCCAAGTCGGCCTCGTGGGTCTCGTCCTCTCGCTGCTTGAAGCATCTCGGTACTAACTTTGAACCCTGAATGTTCATGAACACGCCTCGTGGCAAGGAAAACTGCATGCACTTCTCGAGGGGGGACTTCTTCAAGACGAGGGGACATGTCAACTCGCTCTCATAGTTGAGCGCACCTTTGACTTTCAGCACCATCTTCTGAAGTTCGTCGTTGAAAATGAGAGCAGCCAGCGCCACTGGACGCTGGGCCGCCCGCGTGAAGAGATCATCCGCTGCGTAGTTCCTCGCCGCCGTCAGTCTCACCTGCACGGTCTCAAGGGCGGTCACCGCCTGGACAGGAGTGGCGTCGACGATGCCCTCTGGTAGTCCCACACGTCGTGGCGGAGACGGGCCCAGCTCGATCAGGAGGCACCTCTGAGTCGCTGTACCCTTGGCCTGGCCCGTCTCCACCAGCACGCCCACGAAGGAAGAGCCCTCCAGGACACGCTGCATATTGAATATGAGGATGGTAGCTGATCGCTCGGCATCTCCAAGCGCGTCCAGCCACCGTCTCGTAGCTTGATACTTCTTCTCATCCTGACATGCGATGAGCGGCGGCTTCTCGCAGTTGCAGTCCTGCAGGCGTTTGGCAGACCAAACAGGGCAGTCCTGTCCCCAGTGGCTCTTGTCGACTTTGATATCCTTCTGCTGGTTCTGCTGCTGCTGCTGTTGCTGCTGCTGCTTGGTGGACGTCCCGCCTGCAGCACTCGCAGCAGCTGAAGTGGTATTGGGAGAGCGGTTCAGCAACTGAAGTAGTCGCTCACGCACCTGCATCTCCGTGGATCGGTAGCCCGACACGTCGACCTTCTTGAGGAGTTCTCGAACGTCCTGCAGTAGTCGTGGCTCCTGGAAAGCCTTGGACTTCTTCTGACGTCTGGTCTGAAAGCTCCCCCCCACTCTCCCCGCGAGAGATTGGAGAGCCTCCTGCATCTTCTGGATTTCACTTGACGGGTCTCGGCGGCGCCCCTTCACCTTCGAGCCCTGCATTCCCTTTTTTTTTATCGCCACCTCCCACCAGCGGATCCTCCCAGGAGTCCTCAGAGAAGGTAGACGAAGTCACAGTGATCGGTGAGATCTGCAAAATGGATGACTCACCGATGTCCCCGTCGATGTAGTCGGTCACGGAGTTCTCTGACAGCACACTGCACGGATAACTCTGAACAACATGGTTAGAATGCACAACAGCACGGCGTTCACCCAGATCTGCTTCGAGCAAGGGGCTCGACCCACGTATCCCACGAGGAGGACCTGGGTATTGTACGTCAGAATGGCGTTCCCGCCGCAGCGGTGGCTCCATTTTCTGGCCCTCGGCCCTTCCAAATCAGACTCCCGCTGCAGCGCTGATCTCATTCCTTCGTTGCGCATCTTCCAAATCTAGTTCCCACTACAGCGCTGGGTCACATTTTGCGCTTCTGCTCTTTCAGAAACGTCAAGCTACATATTCCGCATTGCGTCATGCCTGGTTTCGTTCAGAAGCTGTTGTCGAAATGAGTCGTGCTCTCGACCAGCGCTGGCTCTCATTCTACGCTACGGGTGTTTCCACACCGTTTGTTTACATGTCCCATCCTGCATCATGTCTGGTTTCCCTCAGAATCTGTTGTCGAACAGGAGTCGTGTTCTCGACCCGGCGACGCTCTGCCGTGCTCTTCTACGCCGTGGTACGCCGTGCGCTACCATGGGTCTCGTACCCTCTTGGGATCATTGCCTTACTCGAAATCCGACTGTGCGAATAGAGAGGAGATCTATGCCATTGTAAAGGATGGGAAGGAGGAGTATGACGTCAGATAAAACGCATCTGGAGACTTCCTGTGCGGAACAGATGTGGATGATGGTGACGATGATGGTGGTGATGATGATGAAGAGGAGGAGAATGAGCAGCAGCAGCATCACCAGCAGCAGCAGTAGCCTTATCCTCTCCGGTCTCTCCACCCGTCCCTCCTCGGGCGAGACGCGGAAGGACGGGCGCGTCCACAAGGCCTGCTGGATGGTCCGCGAGGGCTGCAGCTGCCCTTTCCGGTACGGGAAGGACGTCCTCAGCCCGGACACGATCCCACCATGGACGCCGGGGTGCGGGGTGGTGGGTGGATATGATGATGCTGCTGATGATGAGGAGGATGACGAGGATGCGGGTGACGATGATGTTGATGATAATCACGAAGATGATGATGGTGAGGAGGAGCCGGGTCAGGAGACTTGCGACTGTTTTGACGATGGTAACGATGGTGGTGTGCGTCGGTGATGACGATAGTGATGCTGATGTTGATGATGATGAGGGTCGTGATGATCATGATGATGAGGAAGAGGAGGATGTCCACGACGACGATGAGGATGACGATGACGATGACCATGATGACGATGATTACGATGATGATGCTGGTGGTGATTGTGATGGTGATAGTGATCGTGATGGTGACAATGATGATGCTGATGATGATGATTGTGGCTGTGCTGTTGATGATGACGATGATGGCGATGCCGATGGCGATGTCGATGGCGATGGTGGTGGCGATGATGATGGTGTTGATGATGGTGGTGGTGATGATGATGACGATGGTGATGATGAGGCTGATGATGATGATCATGTTGATGAGATTGACGATGCTGATAATGCGGCTGATGGTGCCAACATGATGGTGACGGTGACGCCGATGATGATGCCTGTGATGATAGTGGTGCTGGTGGTGGTGATGATGATGGTATTGAACCTGGCGATGAAGATGATGAAGCTGAGGAGTGATATGAGTATGATGATGCTGTTGATGGAGATGATGTCAATTGGGACGATGATGATAATGATGATGCCCTTAAGGGATCGCCCCCGTGACTCATCCCTCAACCCCCCAACCCCCCGGCCGGATTTCTTTTCTTCTTTCCGCGGGGGGTCAACCTTCGCGGCGACCCGTTAAACCCGGGACCCCTGGCGGCGCATGGATTTCTTTCCTTCTTCCCCGCGCGCGTTGCCGTTGGAACCCCTGAACCCCTCCGACTACCGTACAACTCGTACTTGAGTACAACTGGTACTATCATGTCCTATCGCGCAGTTGTTCCTAGAGAGCACGTTGTCCTGCCGTGCAAATATTCGAGTGCAGCTGGTATCATATTACAGCTGGTAAAATTGTGCCCCCTAGAACAACGCCCTATCGCCAATCCCCAGTACTAGTACAACTCCATGGTACAACTCCCGAGCACAATTCCCCCGTACAATTCCCCGGTTTAAGTGGTACTATAACAACTCTCTGATCCAAGTTCCGAGTGCTAGTACAACTCCCTCGTGCAAGTCCTTGATGCAACTCCTTGGTGCAATTCCCGAGTAATAGTACAACTTCTAGTGCAAGTCTGTAGTGCACTTCCCTAGTGCTACTACAATTCCTTAGTACAGTTTAAAAAACCATTGTACTACTTACAGTAGTGCACTTCCTTCCTATTCTGTAGTGCACTTCCTCAGTACTACTTACAGTCTCGGCTCTCACGCTTTTCTTCCTCTGGTTGCGCTTGGGGGGGTGGGGCCCCTCGCGCGGGCACCCCCGCGGCTGGGAGTTCATTCCTCTTCCGGAATTTGAGGGGGGGGGGTAACCCCCGTGCTCGAACCCCATCGCCAGGGTTTTTTTCTTTCCTCCGCGGAAACCGGACCCCCTGGGTTCTTCGGCGCGCCCAATTTTTTTTGTTTTTTCTGGTTGGGCCTCCATGGGTCTTAGGTTGGAGTCACCCGGGTGATCTTAAGGGGAGAAAGAGGATAAGGAGGACGGTTGTGACGATGCTGATGGTGAGGGAGATGGTGATGCTGAAGATGATGCGGCTGCTGCTGATGATAGTGATTATGATAGTGATGCTGATGCTGATGATGATGATGAGGAGGAGGAGGAGGAGGGGGAGTGACGCTAATGACGAGGTCGATGATGATGATGATGATGATGATGATGATGATGATGATGGAGAGGAGGAGGAGGAGGAGGAGGAGGAGGAGGAGGAGGAGGAGGATAATGTGGGAGGGGGAGGAGGCAAAGGAACACAGGTAGCGGGAGGAGGAGGTGGAGGAGGAGGAGGTGAAGGACCAGTGTAAACCTTAGACACATCAACGATGCTGCAATCAACTCTCCCTCCCCCCTTCATAGGTCCCTGCAAGAATTCATGGTCTCTGATGGAAGTGCCCCGCTGGAAGACAAGCATTTGAAAATCGTGAACCGTGCTAAAACACCATGCCTGGGAAGCCGACGCGGCGAATCAACGTGACTGTTGCGCCTTTACAGTCCGGCACCGTGCCAAAACACCGTTTTTGGGACGCAAGCGGTATGAATCCTTGAAACTGTTGCATCATCATCTGACGAATGCGCACGGCGCAAAGGCGAGAGCCACATTTTGAAAAGGAGCCGTCCTCAATCCTTGAAGCTCTTGCAAACGTTGAAGACGATTGTGCTCGGCGCTAAGGTGTGGACCATATTTTGAAAACTCCGCCCTCCATCTTAGAAGCTTTTGCAAAAGTGGAAGACGAATGTGTGCGGCGCTAAAGCGACGGTCACATTTTGAAAACGGCCCGCCATCCATCCGTGAAGTTCCTGCAAAGTTCTGGAAAGTTTCAGGCGAAACGCCCGGCCCGCCCTACCGACGTGCCTCGGGATGCGACAGGGAGGAACTAGTAATAAGGAGCAGGAGGGGAGAAGGATCAGTGTAAGCTCCGAGACGCTTCAACGATGCTGAAACCCTCCCCCCAAGTTCCCTCTTTCATAGGTTTCTGCAAGGATTTAGCTTCACCGCGGGATGTGTGCCGTTGGAAGACAACCTTTCGAACATCCAGAACCGTGCCAAAACACAGGTCCTCGGAGCTTAACGCGGCAATATTGTTGCGACATGACGGTCCTGAATCGTGCCAGAACACCATTATTGGAACTTCAGCACCTCGAGTCAGCATGACCGCTGCGCCATGACAGTCCTACATCGGAAAGAGCGCGCTTGTGGCGCACTTCTCATTCAAAAGGGGGGGGGCCAGCTTCAAGCTACCCCCTCCATCCCTTGGGAAAGGGGGAGGGGGGTTCGGAAGCTCCCCCCCATCCTTGCTGTGGACATTTCAGTGCCAGGGGGGCCCTAGCTACCAAGGGGGGGGGCTCCAAAGCTACCCCCTCTTCTGCCCGAGCCCAAGGTCAGCCGGGGTTTACCTCTTCAAGGGCGTGGTGGTGGCTTCGGAAGCTCCCCCCCTCCTTTTCGCAGCTGAGATTGCCGTGCCAAGAAACGGGGGGGTTCAAAGCTACGCCCCTCCCTCTTTTTCCGGAGCCCAAGATTGACCCGAGTTTCCTTTTCAAAGGGGGGCGGGCTTCGGAAGCTACCCCCCTCCATTTTCGCAGCTGATATTTGTTTGCCGAAGGGGGGGTTCAAAGCTAGTTTTTTTTTTTTTCTGCCGTCCTGTGGTGTTGGGTCCTCGTTTTGCAGAATGGGTGCCCCGCGTCCTCCTCCTCCTCCTCCTCCTCCTCCTCCTTCTCCTTCTCCTCCTCCTCCTCCTCCTCCTCCTCCTCCTCCTCCTCCCCTCATCTTCTCCTATTCCCCCTCCTCCCGTCGCCCGTCACTTTGGCACACCTCTCACGTTTCGTGGCCCCATTGGGGAGCTCCACCCAAAGGCCCCGGTGGCTGCGTTCACATGTCGCCTCCTGTCCATTTTGGCACACCGCTCACACGCTTCGTGGCCCCATAGTGAGCTCCCTCCACGCAAGGCCCCAGCGGCTGCGTTCACATGCGGCCTTCTGTTCACCTCGGCCCACCCTTCACACGCTCCGTGGCCCCATGGGGAGCTCCACCCAAGGCCCCAGCGGCTGCGTTCACATGCCGCCTCGTGTCAGCTTTGGCACACCCCTTTCGCGTTTCGTGGCCTCATAGGGAGCTCTTCCCTCCCAAGGCCCCGGTGGCTTTGGTACACCTCTCACACGTTTCGTGGACCCATAGGGAGCTCCACCGAAGGCCCCCGCGGCTGCATTCGCATGCCACCCCTTCTACTTGGGCACACCCCTCACATGTTCGTGGCCCCATGGGGAGCTCCACCAAAGGCCCCAGTGGCATGCGCATGCGTTTCCCTCACCCAGTACAGCGCTTCGTGGCCCCATAAGGGGGCTCCACCGAAGGCCCTAATGGCGGTGTTCGCATGCCTCTCCACTACTCAGTGCAGCGTTCCGTGGCCTCATAGGGAGTTCCCACCGAAGGCCCTTGTGGCTGTGTCCGCATGCGTTCCCCCCACCGAGTACAACTTGTCGTGGCCAGATAAGGTGCTCCACCGAAGGCTCCAGTGGCAGTGTCTGCATGCGTTTCCCCCACGCAGCACAGCGCTTCGTGGCCCCATAGGGGGCCCCACCGAAGGCTCCAGTGGCTGTGTCCGCATGCGCTTCCCCCACCAAGTACGGCGCTTGGTGGCCCCATAGAGGGCTCCACCGAAGGCCCCATTGGCGGTGTCTGCATGCGTTTCCTCCATGAAGTACAGGGTTTCATGGCTTCATAGGGAGTTCCACCGAAGGCCCTTGTGGCGGTGTCCGCATTCGTTCCCCCCACCGAGTACAACTTTTCGTGGCCAGATAAGGTGCTCCACCGAAGGCCCCAGTGGCGGTGTCTGCGTGCGTTTCCCCCACCCAGCACAGCGCTTTGTGGCCCCATAAGGGGGCCCCACCGAAGGTGCCATGCACATGTTTTGGGCAGACCTCCCGCACCAGAAGTTTCGGTTTCGCGCGGAATGTCTTCCATTCCCGGCTCGGCGCTCTTTGGCGCTAAGAGCCTTGAAGCCATTTTCGCCTTCTCATCTTCCAGCGTCGACTGCTTGGCCTGGACCCAGTATGCCCCAGGCCAGACTGGCATCCCATGTGCCGGCGCCAATGGCAAGCACCAAAGCTTGCGCAGGCCTTTGCCTTCCACCTCAGTCCACCGCTGCTGAGCGTCCTGGCCCTTTTCACGGGGCACCTCGTCTTTTTCTCATGTGATCATCAAGGCGATCTTCACCACCGCCTGAGAATTTTCTTCATTCACGCACTGGTCACGCATTTTCCTTTGCAAGCCTTGCGCAATCTGCCACGTACGCGGGCCCTCTTTCA